ATAGTATGTCAGAATTAATATAATTTTCAAAATTTAAATATATAAGATATGTTTGATAGTTAATAGTGTGAGAATTAGGAGAAAGAGTATGGCGTGTCAGATTCAAAGCAACGGAGAAATATTACAGTGGACAATAGCATTTGACAAAAGTCCTACAGTATTTTTGAATAGCATTTTTCCTGTTCCCAAACTAGTTCCCAAACTGATTAAGTGTGAAAATGAGTATGACAAAAATGAACAGTAAACCCTCATTCTCTCTTTTACGGTAGTGTGTGTATATATATATATATATTACTTTAAGCTGGCTTAAAGAAAGTCTTGTGAAATGAAATCACTGCATTTTCACCTTTGACTGAGTGGGCACGTGCGAGGATTCTTTTGATTCAAATATCTCAATAACTTTGGGAAACTGCACATGCACATCTGTCTATTCTAATATACAACAATTGAAGAAACATTTAAAAATTGACATTGTACTAGTAAATTGTCAGAGCATTTACAATTCAAAGAAGACGTTGAAAGATTGAAGTTTCGAAATACCCCCATTCTTCTAATTTAATTTACAAAACGACCTCCCAACTATAGTAAAATATAGAAAAACTGGGGCAAATTCAATCAGGGTCACTTAACTTTCAGTAAAATCTCAATTGAGATGCTAAGTTTTATTTTGCCTCAATTAGGATCACTAAATCTCAATTTAATTTCTAATTTCGTCGCTATGTTACATTATGTATTATATTGTCCGAAATTGCTTGGTTTACATCATAACTCATTTAGTGTATTTATTAATTTCAATGCTTTCTAGACGTGATTTAGTGGTTAGCTAGCAAGTGATGCAGTGATTACATGAAAGATTCATTGCATAATGCGTCTTGATTAAATAATTTTTATCAATTTAAAAAATGAAAAAACTTTAATAATATGATCACATATGATATGGGTTTGATGATCAAAAGCGATCCTCCTACATTATTCTTAGTTGGAGAGGCACAATCAAACTTTGTACAAATCAAATACTTTGTTTTTGATATTTGAATGATTTATATTTGACCCAAGAAAATTAAGATTTACATTTAAAAAACATTGCTTCATTAATATTTTCTCACCATTTTCATCATTTTGATTTCGAACAGTCATTTTATTAATATTTTGTTCATCACAAGAAAATGCATATTTATGTCTAAAAAATCTAGCGTATTAATTACAAACAATCAATTCAAGTGATCGAAAGGAAAAACATATAACCAATTGTACGACAAATTTTCGTGTATTAAAATACCGAAATCATTACAAATTGTATTTTGATAAATACAAGTGATATTGACCTTCTTGTAATTGCAAAGTTGCAAAAATCATCTGATTAATTTTCTGAATATTTGAAGACGAGGAGCCACGTGACTTGAATCCCGGTCTTCGAAAATTTGTTGAAAATTTGATTTGTCAATACTTGACTTGTTTAGCACTTGAATCTTGAAACTTGGACTTAGACTTGAATTGAATTTGATTTGATTTGAAGAAAATTTTGATCTTCTTGGACTTAGCGTAAACCTGTTTGATTCGAAGAATATTTTAATTTTCTTGGGGTTCACCGAGTTTAGGTTTGAAAGGATTTCTTCCCTTCCTTCGGCCTTGAAATTTCTTCAACACTTTGTGATTACGTTGTCTACTTTCTTTCTTGCTTCGATTTAATCTCTTCTTCTACCCCTGTCTTATGGACAATTGGTCCTATTTATAGGGGAGAATTCGTGCTAATTTTAGTAATTACTCAATTACATTTAATTAGAAGGGATAATTTAGTAATTATTATTTTATTTATTTGTTTGTTTATTTTAAAATGTGATATGGGCCTTCGGTTTTCCATGGACTTTAGTAGACTTAAAATTTAATTGGGCTAATAATTTAAATCGACCCAATCCATTTTATCTTATTTATTTATTATTTTTTTATGTCTACGAATGCCCCCTCAAGGTTTATTTATTTATTATGAAATAAATAAATTAATAAATCTTAATTTTGGATTTTATTTTTGATTTGTTCGATTTTTTTATTTGATTTGATCTCAAACATTCGATTAGTAAATTAATGCAAATGGAACATTTGAAAACAAAACGTGAATTTGATAAAATTCTTATCCTTCAAATTCTTGAATTTTTTTCTCGAATTTTGATTATTTATTTATTTATACAACCCATAACAAATTTGATTTGAACAGATTTTTTATATTTCATGGTAAATTGGGTTTAAATGAAGTTCTTACCTTGTTTGTTTGTTTGGTCTTTTTTTTTTAATATATAATTAATTGTGCACAAGACAATTGGTTTCTTGGTTGCAGAAACCAATTCCAAATTGGTTTACACGCAGAAAACAACCTTTTTTTTTTTTTTTTCTCTTTTCCTTTTTGGTGGCTG